CAAATGCAACAGTTGAGCAGTAGCACGCAAGAAAAGATGACAGCAATTGCTTTGAAGGCACTGAAGAATGCTCATGGTGAGCGAAGTTTATCTTATGGCTTTATCAATAATTTTCGTTTTCAGATGTTCACCTCTTCCACATTGCCGCTTGTTTCTCAGCAATATGTTCACCGAGCATGCCTATGCCAACGGCTGTCACGGCCTGCCTTCAGCGTGCGCGTGGTACAACTCGGTCAGAATTAGCAAATGTTGCGGCTCATCTTGCAGTTTCGCTTTTAAGCGAGAAGGAGAAGGAGGAGATGTTGTCCTCTGTGTTTTCAGCTCTAGACAAGATGGTAACCAAATTACGTGTTTTTATGTCTTGATAGTTTTTTCCTTCGTTTTCGAACTCGAACGCATACCTTAAATTCCAATCAAGAAAGTTTAAATAGTTGGTATGCCGTGGGATTTCGTCTTTTTACTGTAAAATAATTCCTCAGAATGTCACTGCCGGAGACTGCTGGTTGGCAAGCGCTTTTATAACATCCTGTCCTTTACCTAACGCAACTACTTTGTCAACCATCAAGAAATTAGTGAATATAGCAGATGAAGGCTATAACAAGCCCAACAGTGTGTTGGAGTCAGCTCTTGGCGCACTTGCCAATATACTACGTAGGATTTTATCACAAGATGAGGTAATAAGTGTATTTCCTTCCTACGATGAATTTCTACTAACCCGAATAATTTAGAAATTTGCACTAACTTCTGACGAGCTCGGTCATGTATTAGCTGTTTGCGAAAAAATAGCAGTCTCTAGAAAAGATGCTGTATCTACTAAAGCTCATGAGGAATCCACTCTAGCCATAGGTTTTTGTGCAACGGCAATGGACGATGACCTCTATGAGAAAGTAAGACTTGAAGTTTATAAGTTTTGATCAGGACGACTATTCAACTGTTCAGTACTGCATTTATCTATCGTATGTGCTTTACTTAGATTGCTGTATTTAGCTAACCTCATCCCTGTATTCAATTGGAAATGGCCCTCCACAGCCTGAGGTGCAGCTCGTGGTAGGATCAGCTTTATTCGATGTCGCCTTGGGTCCATATTCGCCCTCACGTAGAAATCTTTACTTAACATCAGAAGACGACGTTAAGGTATTTATTATCGGTTTTTGA